AACTGTTGGTTGGAACAACTCGTTCCCCTTCAGTCCCTATTGAAAATGAAAGAAACAGAAGATATTTTAGAATTGGTACTTCCAGGAAGGTAATTAAAATGCATAATACAAATTCTTAATAAAAGAAGCAAAATGCAGGACAATGTAGCACTTTAAAGAATAACTAAATGGTTTATTAGATGATGAGCTTTCGTGGGCCAGACAATTGTATCCTTTGGTATATATGGTTGTGACTATTTTCTTCCACTATTTGATCTGAGGAAGTGGGTCTGGCCCACGAAAGCTCATCATCTAATAAACCATCTAGTTAGTCTTTAAAGTGCTACATTGTCCTGCATTTTGCTTCAGCTACCCCAGACTAACACGGCTACATTTCTATCACTAATAAAAGAAGCAATTTCTTCACAGCCTTTTTCAATATGATGGGCTTTATTCTCACCAGATATAAATCTGTGCCATATTAATGGAATTATGTTCATTTTCTAAAGTCAGTAACACTATGCTATACCTAGCACAGCACAGTTAGTGTTGAAACCACTCAGGTACAAAAGACCAGACCCTCTGGGATGACCCTAAACCCATAAAACAGGACAGTTGACGGTGCAGACTGAACATCCTTATGATGTTACCTCAAAAAGGGATGATCCATAGAAAAAGCTGAATAGGTGGCAATCCTACAAGGGGTGCTAGTACAACTAGGCTGCCTAAAGCATTGGCAGTAGAGGCTCTGGAGTCAAAACACCAACTACTCCCCATCCACCCACCGTTGTATAGAGGGGAATAGTTACTTTACACGGGCTTCTTTTCTCTCCTTGTTATCGGCAGTCAGCACAGAAGCAAAAAGGAGCCCCCTCACTTCCTTGTGTAGATACAACGAATGAATCAAATCTTGCCTTACCCTACTGTAGCATATGGAGGGATATTTTTTCTAACCATGTGCTCATTCTCCACTTTGACAATATATTGTTTACATTATATAAATATGAAACATTTCTACCCACATA